CTATTCCGCAGGAAGACACGGGTGTAAAAATCGGACGCTCGCAGGTGGTGCGTATAAAAAATAACACAAATTCAAGGCTACTAAAATACGTATAAAGTCGTGCGACAAAGGTGCGTCACAGTGGCATAAAATACAGAGGCGCGTATGGTCTGTTGCAGCAGTCGTAAATAACGGTGTCAAATTAAATTATGTCTCCATAACATGACAACCGGATCTCTTTCATGGTAGATGTTGTATGGAGGGCGTAAAGTTAATTAAAACCTTAAAAAGGGAGAAAGAAAAGGTGTTCTCGTAGAAAGGTGTGTTTTGTTGTTTCTTTTTTTTTTTTTCGTTTTACTTAGTTTTTTTTTCTTTGTTCGTACATGAGCGCCTACGTATAGACTGAGCTGATAAAGGCCGCGCACATTGTACGCGGGTCAATCGCTGCGATGCACCAAAGTAAGTGGCGGGCCGAACTTCTTTATTCCGCGTCGGGCGGTGTCGTCAGTCGTCACCCTGGCCCAAGGTCGCCAGCCACTCGTCGTCGTCAATCACTCCCGAGACAACGCGCCCGCGTCCACGCGCCTCGCCTTTAGCCGATCCCCCTCGCCTTTAGAGCCGCTCCTCCTCGCCCCTCTTGAGATTCACACGAACGGGCTGCGGACGGGCTGCAGAGGCCGCGTCGCATTTAGTCCATTTACTTGTTGTCTTATTTTACGATGGAGTTGTTGTTGTTATAAAAATATACGAAAGGGATCGCTGAAAAGGGGCGACCGTCCGCACTGCGTGGAAAATATCCTGGACAATTTACAACATTTTTTTTTTAAATTTAGTGTACGATGGAACTATTTCGTAAAAAATGTGCGAAAGATTATTATTGCTCGTCGATCAGATTTCCAGTCGATGAGAAGGGGCTTGTAAACTATCAATTTTTCTACACATGTCATATGAAAATTTCTTCGAAAACCTGCGACTATTTTTTGACAGTGCGCCCAAAATCAAAACGACCGAAACGACTCCCCGTCGTTGAGGCTTGAGATAGAGCGGCGCGCGTCAGGCCGCCTTGGCCTTGGGGCCGCGCGCTAACGCGGCCCTGGCCGCCAGGGCGTTGACGACCCTCCACGCCACGAGGCCGGCGACGGCCGCGAGCGCCAGCGCGCAGGCGCCCAGGAAGGCGATCACGTCGAGGAGCAGGTACTGGTAGAGGGGCATGTCGGCGCAGCGCGGGCGGAGGTGGGGGGCGCCGCGGTGGCGCACCACGTACTCCACCCACCACACGGCCTCGTCGGCGGCCGAGCGCGGCCGGTCCTTATGCAGGATCTCCACCTCGCGGGCGCGCTCTCGGTACCTGCACAACGGTAAAAATAAGTATAAAAAAAAAACAAAGGAGAAAATAGACAGCCAAAAATTGATTCTCAAACTTTTTTTGAGACTTTCGGCCTGTTTTGTACCGTTTGTTGGTCGTCATTTCTTTGAGGGCGGCGAGGAAGCTCTCCCGGGTCATGGTCAGCCGGTTGACGTAGTCGGCGACGCCCAGCCCCTTGTACATGTCCATGTTGACGCCCTGGTCCGCGAAGAGCGGGATGCCGAGCATGGGCACGCCGCAGTGCAGCGCCTCCAGGGTGCCCATCAGGCCGCCGTGCGTGATGAAGAGCATTGTCTTGGGGTGCGCTGAGAAGGACAAAGGGCGCCGTCAAGTGGGGCCGTCGTCGGGGCGATGACACAAACAGGGTTGGAAATTTCCAAAATTCTCCGAAAAGTTCAAGAAAATTTCCGGAAAATAACAAAAATCTTCCAAAGTTCGGAAAAAATTTCCATTTCTTCCCGGATTTTTTTTTTGTTAAGTTTATTTAAGGTCAGTCTCGTTGACTCAAGGCTAATCTCAAGGAGAGTCCCTTGTTTCAAGAAACCCGAGGGGGCAATAACTCCGAATTCCGGAGTGTACACATGATTCTTGGAATCCATGATTCCCGTTGATTCCCATTGATAACCGTCGTGATTCTTATTGATTCCCGCTGATTCCCGGGCCGGTGTGTACACATGATTCCCAGAGTTATTGCCCCCTCGAAGAAACCTAATTCCTGGATTAAGACCCATCATCCCTATGATTGTCGACTCACTCAGCACGTCCATCTGCGGGAGCCACTTGGCGACGCGCACGTTGTCCGGGAGGGTGACGTTGTCGGCCTCGAACTTCCAGACGACGCGCTGCGGCAGCTGGCTGAAGGCCCAGATGAAGTCGTCGCGCAGCTCGACCGGCATGGACGAGGCCTTGATGATGGAGCCCAGGGAGAAGTAGATGACGCCGTGCTCGGCGCCGTCCATCCAGGCTCGCAGGCTCGGGTCCAGCGTCCCGGGCGCGGTCTGCGGGCCCGAGCAGCCAAGTCAGGTCTACCAATCCCTCCACGAGCGCGCCATTTTCAAATCGCTTTGGTTTACTGGTCAATTTTGATGGTAAAGCAAAGAAATTAATTTGAAAAAGTTTTCGATGTGTGACTCGGAATATCCATTTCTCAATGGCATGTCCTCGAATCAAACGAGACGATTTTCCTGGGTGCGCAACTCGTCAACGGATGCACCCGCCTTGCTCACCGTGACGTGCAGGCTGCCGACGTGCACAATGTTGGGCGTGACGGGGCGGGCCGCGTTGATGCTGACGTGCCTGTTGAGCAGGATGAGGCTCGTGTTCTTGACGAGCTCGCGCTGCGGCGGCAGGTCCTCTCCGAGGAACTCGCGCATCGTGGCGTCGGTGCCGTCCTGTAGGCTACGCCGCATGAAGTACTTGATGCAGACGGAGAACACGGTATTGTACACGCGGTCCCAGAAGCCCATGGGCTCGGTGATCTTGGCGAACACGTTCACGTTGTACGACGGGTTGTCGATGGAGCCCATCCGCTCATGGATCTGGGGCCAGTCGGGCCCCGAGGCCAGGCTCACGACGGGCAGCCCCAGGCGGTGCGGGATGCCCGCCCAGCAGTCGGCGCCGAAGGCCTCCGTCAGCACCACGTCGAACTTGCCGTAGCCGCCAGCGAGCACCTCGTGCACCTCGGGCATGGCGAGGACATGTCGGCAGACGGCGTCCCCGCCCATGGCCGCAATGGCCTCGGCGTACGCCCAGGCGACCAGAGGCGGGAAGTCGAAGGGGATCGGCTTGAGCAGGCTGAAGTCGATGGCGCCCAGCAGTGAGATGCCGCCCGCCGACGTGTCCACGTGCGTGTAGTTGGGCAGCGGGGTCTTGGGCGGGAAGTTGCTGAACATGACCACATGGTGGCCGCGCTCCACCAGCGCCTCGGCCATGGCCTGCAGCAAGGGAGGCACACAGGGCGGGTCAGAACCGCTGTCGTATATACAATGTCATCATTTCATTGCAATCCGAGGGGGAATTTCACCTGCGAAATAGTGCGCACACCTGTAGCTGCGCGAAATAAATGCGAAATAGTGCGAAATAACGGCGAAACACGCGCCAGATAGTCGCGACATGCCCTCGAAATAACGCGGAATATGGTGAAATAAAGCGAAATTATCCGAAATGGACACGAAATAATCGAAATCGCCGTGAAGTACAGTACCACGTAGCAGAGGTGAGCATCGGGCGGTCCGCAGTCCCGGTAAGCTGGCCCGCCAGTCCCGGTAAGAACCGGCAAGGTTCCGAAAACGACAGGTGCGAGTGAGACGCTCGCACCGGCCGTAGCGCTACGGAGCGCTCCGTCTCACTCGCCCGTCGCTTTCGGAACCTTGCCGGTTCTTACCGGGACTCGAGGGCCACCTTGCCGGGACTGCGGACCGCCCGATGCTCACCTCTGCCACGTGGTGTGGTACGCCCTATTCCTGAGTGATTTTCCCCTCGTTTTGATCACTAAAAAAATGTAACAAAATTCACACATGTACCTTGAACATGGTATTGTGGCTGTGGGCGCCGAAGGGGAACACCATGAGCGCACGCAAGCCGTCGGAGCGGCCCGCCGTGGCGACCGCGAGCAGGGCGACGAGCAGGACGCGCGCGAAGCCCATGGCGAGAGTGGTGCAGGTGCGCAGCTACAGGTGCGCTTCAGGTGCGGACGGGGCACAGCTGCAGGTGCGCGACGACGGGGCGAGCGCGGCCGCGGACGGGGCTTTTATAAGAGCGACCCGCCCGCCGCGCCTATATCTCAAGCACCCGACCGTCTGAACACCAGGGCTTGTATCTCAAAGAGGAATCAACCTACGCCACGGGTGCGAACACTTATTCGCGGTATTCGCAAGAACCTTGCAGCGATCTCAGTCGCAGGCGCAAATGACGAAGAGATACAATCTCATTCGGGACTCCGGTAAAAACAAATTTCTTGTGTTACACGACCTGTTCTTGGATCTTGTGGAGGACGCCAATGGCATCCAAGACCAGGTCTTGTAAGACGAAAACTATTTGTACCGTGGACTGATTAGCAGGGGGCGGTACCCCTCCTCCTGTTCCAGGCTATGCGGCAACAGTGTAAGGGTTCCGAGAGCTCGAAACACCGTAAGACTCATATTGCGCCGAGTTTCCCAGTGTGACGGTGGGTAGTAGGGTAGTAAATAATAGAGAAAAGTGTGTCGGCGGGGGAGGAGGGGGGGGAGGGAGGAGGATGGATTGGTGAGGAAGAAGTGGCAAGCAGAGTGCGAGCGCAGGGGGGGCGATATACCCGCGGGAATCAATCGCAGGCCTTCCGAAGTGCTTCCGGAGAGGCTGGGAAAAGGGAGAAAGAGAATCGCGGGAAGGAGAGGGGGGCGGTGGGGAGTTGCAGCGGACGGTGCGGGGACCCCCCCCCTCTCTCTCTCTCTCTCTCTCTCCCTCTCTTTCTCCCCCCTCGAGGCAACCCCGGCCTGTCCGAGACACCCCCGTCGTACCGTCGTCCCGCACCAATAGCGCACCGGCCCCCCCGCGGCAGGTCTGCCTCCAAGAGGTCGAGGTGCCGGGGCCGTGTCGTCCACGACGACCTCCTTTATGGGGGCTTGTCACACTTTCGTGTTTGCGCGCGCCAGGCAAACGGGCCTCCGGAGGGAAATTATATTGGGAATGGACCGGCGGGGGAGGGAGGGAGGG